TTTAATCGTTTTTCATAGTTGTGATGTTTCGAATTTGCGTATATAATATATATTTCTTTCCGGCAATTCTATTTTGTCTTCTTTCGTTTATTTATAGTTCATTTTTTGCTATTTACAGCCTCCTCTAGGCTATTTCTGTTTTGTGCTAGGTACTGCTGTACCACAAACAGTGTCCCTGTAAAGGGGCGTATTTACATTACCGTACAACAAAAAATGGAAGTAGTGTATCAAAGAAAATGATAATCTAACTATGATTAAAATGTGTGCGATTATTATATCGGATAAAATATAATGATTTATCTATAAAACAATACATAATTAACAGCTCGTTTTGTAGCACGCACCTGATCGAGCAGAAGAAGAATAAAAAACAGGTAAAAACTAATTGCATTTCTAAATTATGATGCAGGGAAATTGTTTTCATGCTCAATCATGCGGTAATTGGTGAAAAAAATCGATTACATTTTTTAAGTTGTTGTCATAAAACGAGATTAAATTAATTGTTATCGCATTGATTGTTCCGCTCGTACTCGATTTCTGCCCCGATGTCGATGATGAAATATGTATCTCGATTATTGCCGGCCGATGAAATAATATGCACCGTTATAATATGTGTATCGGATATCAAGTCGTAAATACATATGAAAGGACAAGAAAAAAACAAGAATTTTAATAGACGTACAATCATTTTTGTGTAATTTTTTAAAATTTGTTTTTAAAAAATAAGAACGCACTATTTTTCTATAATATAAGGAAAAATTAACGTTTTCCGTAGGAGCGGTTTCTCCATTTGTTTATTTGTGCTGTGAACGCCCAGTTACATTTTATAGAAACATATTATTATAAAATCACATAAATAACATAAAAAATTAATTCAATTTTAATATTTTTATTATTTCCATAAATCATAATCCCTATTTTTTTGTTACACCATTACGCTCTGACTCGCCGCAGCTCTCTCAATTCACAATGTTGATTTAGCACCAGAGTGACCAGTCGTTTTTGCAAATGTTTGTAGTTAAAAAGAGAACCAACAGATCCGTTAAACTAGGTAAAACAAACAATGTGACTAATTAAAACCACGCTATTTTGTTCATCGTATATAAACAAAGCGTGACGTCACAAAGTAGGGCGTGGCATACGAACCTTTCCAATCGTTGAAAAAGAATAAAGATGCTATGACGATACTAAAAGTGTGCGCATTTTTGCATTACACTTTTACATCATATGTCAAATTTGAGATAGCCAAATTTTGGTGAGAATAAATGCCATTTTTTTTAAATAGCATGATTTAAATGAAATATAAATATAAAATTATTAACTTCAAATTAATCAAAATACAACTCAATTTGCGACTACTTGTCGTCTTGTCGTCTTGTCGTCTTGTCGTCTTGTCGTCTTGTCGTCTTGTCGTCTTGTCGTCTTGTCGTCTTGTCGTCTTGTCGTCTTTGTCGTCTTGTCGTCTTGTCGTCTTGTCGTCTTGTCGTCTTGTCGTCTTGTCGTCTTGTCGTCTTGTCGTCTTGTCGTCTTGTCGTCTTGTCGTCTTGTCGTCTTGTCGTCTTGTCGTCTTGTCGTCTTGTCGTCTTGTCGTCTTGTCGTCTTGTCGTCTTGTCGTCTTGTCGTCTTGTCGTCTTGTCGTCTTGTCGTCTTGTCGTCTTGTCGTCTTGTCGTCTTGTCGTCTTGTCGTCTTGTCGTCTTGTCGTCTTGTCGTCTTGTCGTCTTGTCGTCTTGTCGTCTTGTCGTCTTGTCGTCTTGTCGTCTTGTCGTCTTGTCGTCTTGTCGTCTTGTCGTCTTGTCGTCTTGTCGTCTTGTCGTCTTGTCGTCTTGTCGTCTTGTCGTCTTGTCGTCTTGTCGTCTTGTCGTCTTGTCGTCTTGTCGTCTTGTCGTCTTGTCGTCTTGTCGTCTTGTCGTCTTGTCGTCTTGTCGTCTTGTCGTCTTGTCGTCTTGTCGTCTTGTCGTCTTGTCGTCTTGTCGTCTTGTCGTCTTGTCGTCTTGTCGTCTTGTCGTCTTGTCGTCTTGTCGTCTTGTCGTCTTGTCGTCTTGTCGTCTTGTCGTCTTGTCGTCTTGTCGTCTTGTCGTCTTGTCGTCTTGTCGTCTTGTCGTCTTGTCGTCTTGTCGTCTTGTCGTCTTGTCGTCTTGTCGTCTTGTCGTCTTGTCGTCTTGTCGTCTTGTCGTCTTGTCGTCTTGTCGTCTTGTCGTCTCTACTCTATTCCCTATAAGACAATGATATAAATTACCTAACTTTGTACCAGAAGTTATTTCAGAAGTTTGACAATTTTATTGTTTTATTTAAACAAGGATAATTTCTTGACCGTAGAACAATTTTATATAAACAATTGTTATATTTTGTAGGCGGTCCCTAATGAATTTGAAGTTATAGAAATATGATCTATCTATAAATACTAGAGGTACTGATAAACAGTGTCAGACTAATATAGAGGTGATGATTTTACTCAAATGATGATATCGTTTTTATCTACAAAAAAAAATATAAGCTAAACTTACATTACATTTTTTTAAGACGATATAAAAATTAAATATTTCACTAACCTAAATTTATTCAATAAACTAAATATTTGTGTCTATATTAGGTATTAAACCTATATTATGAAGATTAAATATTTACCGATCAGTACTTAGGAGGTAAACTGAACTATGTCGACATAGTGCAATTTTATAAAGGATATATTTTTAAAATCAACTCATCGATATCTTTCCAGAGGTATACGTACTATACCATGTATTAGTAATGTTACAATAAAAGTTGACTAAAAAAAGTAAAATGTTTCATAAACAACTCCATGCGCACATAATGTTTTTAACTCTCACATTAGTCGTATTATTTATAGAGACATGTTGTGGGTATATCACTGTCATAAAAAATTTGTTATCAGAACATAAAAATAGGTTACAAAAATCAATAATTCATGTATATTAAAAAAAACGTTTTATTAGTTAGATATTAGTAAACAATATATATTGTGACAATAATTGGGGGCTAACTACATCTCTTGTCAAAATATAATTAATATAATGTAAATATGGAACACAAAAAGTGTCCAAACAATATTCAGTCTGCTTTACTAAAAAATTGACTGGAATGACATACCTCCGAGGTACTGATATACCCATTAACCTATTAAATAATTTTCCAAACGTCTATTATGTGGGACTGATCTTATATAATAAACATTTTAGTTCACTTGCTTTATTTACCAATAAAAAGTATTTAAAAAAATACTTTATTATTTATTATATTATTATGTGTGACAAACTGTGAAAATGATTAAATTTACAAGAAAAACTGAAAAATTGTAGGTAAAATTTCATATAATAATATTGTTACACATAAATCAATGAAGCTGTCTACTGCTACGATAAATTTTACCATCCCCTCGTAACACAATCTTCAAAAATTAAATTTTGAATATGAGAACCCAATCCCTTTGAGCTAGTTGTGAGCTTACAGTTCAATTTTCCTTTTTGCATTTTTTTTGTCAGTTAAAAATTAAAAATATTGCTTTGTAAAATTTCTATATATTTTCTTTTCTTCCCCTTTGTCTTTTCTTTAATTTTTAATATTAAATCATCTTCCACAAATAAAATCAATTTCCTATTTTTTTATTATTTCGTTACACTAAATAATCTGATAACTATTAAAAAAAAAAAATCTAAAAATATGATGCATTCCCTAATCCCTAATCTATGGGTCACTGTGACTTTGTTTCAACGTTGCCATATTTAGTAGATTTCTACTTTTTTTGGTAAATTTCAGCTTTTTAGCTAGTTTTAGTAGATTTTTTTTAAATTTAGTATTGGGCTGCTAAAAATGATTGCTAGAAACGTTAAGTTATAACTAGGGTTGGGCGATTATCGAAATAAATAATCGATTATTTAAAATAATCGGTTATTTTCGATTAAAAATATTGTATTCTTTTCGATTAATCGATTATTTTGGAATAATCGATTATTTTTTAATAATAGATTATATATCGACTATTTATCACTAGAGTACAGCAAGTTAGTGAATAGTTGTAGTGTTTGAATACAGTATGATATTGACAAAAATAACTACACTATATACAAATGTTGACGCTTGAACAAAATTATGAAGCGAACTTACAAATGTTAAAATTATTGGAAAAAATTGAACACCCATTTTAAATTATCACTGGTTTTCCGAAAACTGATATTAGGTAATCTTCAGGCAACATCGCATACAATGCGCCTACATTGGGAATGTGAGTACATTATCGTACAAGCTGCCACTTGCCTGGAATGTGCTCGAAAGTTTGAGAATAACGTCTCCTCTTTTGTATCTAATATTTTTTGGCAGCAAAAACTTACTTATCCGAGGCGTTATTTTAAATTAAATGACAAATTAATATATAAAAAATCAGTTGTTGGAGATGTGATTACGTTACTGCCTCTAAAAATATCATTTAAATTTGTATTTTTCGTTCAAAATTATTAATTATATAAAATATTAAAAATATATAATGTTAGGTTTGCTGAAATTGCTGATATTCGTAGGTACCTTCTAGCTTGAATCAAAATAATAAAATTATATAATAATATATTTTTATCTAATTAAATAGGTACCACATTTGTAATATTCTACTGTTTTTCATAACGAAAAATTTGTAGATTATGTTCCTGCTTCCAAATAAAAATAAGTGTGTTTTTTACACACTATAGGTACCGAATTAAAATTATATAAACTATATTGAATTTAAATTTGGCAGAAATAACTATCGCTACATCTACGTAAAATAACATTTATCTTTCTTCTTAATTTAATTAATCTTGTTACTTGGAATCTGTTAAATTGTTTAAATGGCTATTCATTCCGACTGCAATGATTGCATTTCCGTTAACGTTAATGAAAGTACCTGGAAGTTTCTTTTTTTTTACTATATTAACGATACGATTTTCCTGTCCTGGATTATTTGTTTTTGTCGACGATTATAAGATTTATCGACTACACTACAAAATGTATACATCCTTTTCAAGCATAAAAATGTGCAGTATAAATAGCAGGAAAGACTCGATTGATGCTATAGTCTGGGAACATAATTCAACTTCAATATTTTTTACTTTTTACTGTTCCCCCATAATTAAAAATGAATGGCGAGAATTTAAAAAGGCACAAAACTTCATTTTCCATGATGTAATCTTACACAACTGTTATATTTTTGAATCTTCAGTTAACTATTTTAAAAATGATTAATTTTGAATTTATTTGTTTATTGGTCATAATAATACTACAACACTACAATACTACAATACTACAATACTACAATACTACAATACTACAATACTACAATACTACAATACTACAATACTACAATACTACAATACTACAATACTACAATACTACAATACTACAATACTACAATACTACAATACTACAATACTACAATACTACAATACTACAATACTACAATACTACAATACTACAATACTACAATACTACAATACTACAATACTACAATACTACAATACTACAATACTACAATACTACAATACTACAATACTACAATACTACAATACTACAATACTACAATACTACAATACTACAATACTACAATACTACAATACTACAATACTACAATACTACAATACTACAATACTACAATACTACAATACTACATACTACAATACTACAATACTACAATACTACAATACTACAATACTACAATACTACAATACTACAATACTACAATACTACAATACTACAATACTACAATACTACAATACTACAATACTACAATACTACAATACTACAATACTACAATACTACAATACTACAATACTACAATACTACAATACTACAATACTACAATACTACAATACTACAATACTACAATACTACAATACTACAATACTACAATACTACAATACTACAATACTACAATACTACAATACTACAATACTACAATACTACAATACTACAATACTACAATACTACAATACTACAATACTACAATACTACAATACTACAATACTACAATACTACAATACTACAATACTACAATACTACAATACTACAATACTACAATACTACAATACTACAATACTACAATACTACAATACTACAATACTACAATACTACAATACTACAATACTACAATAGTACAATACTATAATACTATAATACTACAATACTACAATACTACAAAGCTATGGTGTTATTAAAAAGGTTTTAAAACATCTACCGTTCCAGATATGTGGAAGAGATCAAAAATGTGACCTGTATCTAAACAGGAAGACAGGAATGATGTAACTATTTATAGACAAATATATGTATATGTAAAATATGTATATCACTAACTTTTCACTTTTTAGTAGCACAACTAGTTAGATATTTAAATTACTATAATAAAAATCTGATGTGTCCAACACATGACTTTCCTGTCTAGTTATTAGAGGATTTTTTCGGTTATTTTGTGCAACCTATTGCAGCACCTCTGTAAATATTTAGAGG